AATTACAGTCATCTCTTATTTACCTTTTCATTACTGCTTCAGCATCCATCTTTCCACGCTCTCACTGAACGATCTTTCGTTAGTCCTAATTACGCATGCTTTAAAATAGTAGATTTCCACCGGGGTGGAGGGGAAAAAAATACAGAAAATGTTAGTTTTTTCGCCCCCACTCCAAGACTTGAGTCTTTTTTTTTTTTCCCTGAGAGTGTGAAACGAAGGACAGAAAGACAGTGTATCAGTGAAAAGATGCAAGTGGCCTTTTAATGAGAACTAAAGAAAACCAAATCGTAAAAGTAGCTTCAAATTACAGTCTAATTCCCCTGAGTTTAGCCATCAGACAAATTTGGTAATTGGGAGTTTACTGCACAGAGGTAAGGCAGCACGGTATGGATAACCGCGTATTTCTTCCCTAAAATAAATACAGATTAGTTTCACGGATTGTCTGCACAGAACCATGGGATACTAGAGACCTCTTACTCCAGCAAATGAATGAAGAACCGGTGATCATCATTAAAAAAACCCCCACAAATCAAAAACTGCAAACAAATTACCTACGTACTCCAAGTTAAAATCATTTCTCCCTTTTCTAATTGTGATCCTCGCTGCATATGGACTGTAGCAGGGGTGATGTCAGCATCTACTAGCTGCTGCCTACTTTATTGGTGTTTGCTTCTGTGCCTGACTTTCATTTTGTGTGTGTTTTCTGATCTTAGCTTTTGCTGTATCACAAAAAGTCTCCACAAGTAGCAGAACGATAAATCCAGCCAAAGCCAAGACAGATTTCCTCATCGATGTGTAATAAAGTTAAAGGACATTGTTTTGTCAGACAAGCTCTAAGTAAAAAATAAATCCTTGCGTCTGGGGAAACAAAACTGAGTGCTGCTGGCATGTATGTAAATTTACTTTTAAAAGCTATAAATCAATGTTAAATTAAACAGCTGGGCTCCCTATCTCAGAGCAAGTTTAGGCAAAGCTCAGCGGCGAGATGCAGCCGGACACCCCGGACGCCAAGCCCTGCCCAGGATGAAACATTCCGCCTCTCTCCCCGCCGGCTGCCGCCCACCTCTGCCAGCCGGGCAGGGCGTCGTGGGGGACACCAGAGGGAGGGGGTCAGCCCAGGGGGGCACTCGGTGCTACACACAACCCTCTCACCCCTTCACTCCGGCTCGAGGATGAGGAGTTGCCTGCGGAGCCCCTGGCTGATTTGCACCTGGGCTCAGCATCGCGACCTGTCGAAATAGCCCCAGATTGTTATTATCCTAGTGCTAATTTCATCATTTCCGCACCACGAGGCAGATGCATGGCATGCAGGCGGCCGCGGTTGAGAGGGGCAGGAATCTCTTGTTTTAGTCATCGTTTCCCATTTTAAGAATGCTCACAGTGTGAAGTTGGGTGCACCTGCTCGCCATGGGACCCCGGGAGTCACTCGTCTGATCACATCTGCCTTCTGTTTTCAGAAATGCTGAGCGAAGTAGAGGGAGAAAAAGAGAGAATGAAGTGAGAAAGAAGGGAGGAAGGAGAGATGGTAGGAGTGAAGGGGTGAGAGGAAAAGACACAAAGGAGATTCAGAAGGAAAGAAGGAGAAAGAGAGAGAGAATGAGAGAAAGAAAAAGTAAAGAGAGAGAGAGGGGAGAAGGAGAGAGGGAGAGAAAGAGAAGGAAAGAAAGAGAAGAAAGAAAGGGAGAAAGAAAGAAAGAGACCTTCAGTAAAATTCTAGCAAGCTGGTATAGACCCATCATGAATCAGTAAGTTTTTAAAACCCCCAAACTATAGAAGCAAAGTCACAGAAGATACACCAGCATGGTTGTCTGCTGGGAAATATTTGTACATGACTGAAGATTTTAAAATAATCGAATACATTTTAAAGAACTTAACCATAAAGACATTTTTACACAGTGGCGTGTAACGTTATTAGTAATTTTCTTCCAAACACTCGGGAGACATCGAGGGAAGGGTTTGTGGCGACTTCTCGCCTCAAACCTGCTCTGACCTGCTTGCAGGACACTTCGGTGTCTACATGCAGCCCGCGCCCTGGATTGTTTTGCAAAAAATGATGTGAACACGACGCAGAAGAACCTTTTTTTTTTTCCTGGTGTCCCTGGGATTCCTATGTCTGAGAATTAAAAGTGACACTTGACGGGACTGGAGTTGGAGCAGTTATTTAATACACCCTGCCTTTGTTTTGCTGTATTTGAGAGGAAGATCTAAATACGCGGTAAAGTTTGTTCGCCTGTTTGTCTGTTTGTAGATAGGAACATTGGCAGTTTCTAAGTTTCACCCAAGGCACTGCCGCTGCTATCAAGTAACATTTAAAATAACCTATTCGGTTCCCCTCGACAAATGGCTTCGGCTCACCTCGCACACTGGTTGCGTCGTTGCTCCTCGTGATAGCATCAAGAAGGAGATTTTTTGTGGGTTTGTTTTTTTCTTTTTTTTTTTTTTTTCCTACTTTCTTTTTTCGCGCTTTCGTAATTTGCCTGGCAGGTAAGAGCGGTGATAGCAAGTCCTGTAGGTGAACAGCCAGGTGTTACGCCTCTCGGCCCCTCCACGCCCCCGCGCACAAATCCGCACGTCGTGGAGCGTGTTCACGTGTAATTAATTAAAAATAATTTAAAAAAAAAGAGGAGTGGAGCAGTCCCTTCCGCAGCCGAGGAGGTGTTCCCCTGCTCCTCCCCCGACCCCTCTGGGCAGCGTTGCCTGCTCCCGCTCCGCAGCCGCTCCGCGCGGCCTCCGTGCCGCTTCCCGTGGCCAGGACTAGGTGGCGCTCCGCCTCGCGGGACCCGCCGCGCCACCGCCCGCCTCCTGCACCGCCGCGGACGATTCCACACCCGCGGAGGGCCCGAGGGGACGCGGCAGGGGCGGCGGAACGGGGTGGGGACGCTGCGTTCTCAGTGGGGTGTTTGCTGCACTGGGGAAGGCCCGGGGGTAGACCTCGCACGTCCACGCGTGGTGAGCTGCCTCAGGCCACAGTGGCACACGGATAAGGGCGCAGGTCCGCGGGCCGGGGGTGATGTGCTTTGGAAAAAGCTCTCGGAGGCTCGTTCGGCAGGAATATCAACACGTCCACTGGAGTTACCCCAATATCTCTCTGCCATTGACCAATACGATGACGCTTCCAAAGTCCAGATGCCAAAAAATCACTCACGGGCCTTGGATCTTTTCAAGGCTGTGAAACGATCTTTTCAAGGACCTGTTCAATTCTGTGTAATTTTTATTATTATTTCCAAGGCAAGTGTCAATAGCCGAGGTAAAGATTGATAACGCTAAATAGTGTGTATGTATATAATATTTCCCAAAATCACTCCTCGCCTTTTCAGGGCTCCATTATAACCCCCGTATTTAAAGACTAAACATCACTTTTGCGCAGAAGAAATTCTCTTTCCGCAGGACAGATGTTTTAAAAGTTACTGTAGGAGGTAAAACCAACAAAGAGTGAATCAGGCTTTAAATCACCGGTCTGCTGTGGGATCATCGCAAGCGCTGTTGATGCCATTATCATTGTTTTTAGTAGAACTGGGAGGCTTCTATCGTTTGCATCATTCCTGCGATACCCTGAGGAAAAGTGGCCTATGAGACGGGGGAAAAGTAATAGTAAACATTGAATCACCAGACGCTGCTTTGCAAGCAAAGCGGGATAGGAATGATACTGAATTGCTCGTTTAAACTAATTTTCTCAGAAACGTGGCAGCTTCTTTCTCAGTGGAATGAATCCGAAGGAGTTTGAGTGGTCTAATTGATAAACTTTATTAGGGATTTTGGATAGGATTACTCGGATTTGGCTCCGTGGAATCTTTGTGGAGTCTCTCTCTCTCTCAATAGGTGTTAGGCTGTAATTAGGAGGTGCTGAAAACCTAGGCGGAAAATTTACCACTTGATCAGCTCCAAACCACGCACACCAGGGGAAAAAAACCCCAACACCCAAACCCCCCAAAACAACAAAAAATCTGCTACTGTTGCAAACATATGTTACGGATTAAGTTAAGCAAATGGCTCTAGTTTTGCAAGATTGAAAGCTGATAATGAAAACTTAAAGAGTTTGGCTTTTGTTCTAGCGCCAGTTACTTAAAGCTAACAAATCCCCTTTACATTTCAGGGAAATTAAAAAAAAAAATCAACTGAACTTCATCCAGCTGGGAAGAGAGCCGTGACAATTGACCTTCTGCCGAAGCTCTGCCTGCCCTGAGCTTTGAATTTCTCTCCAGCGAAGCTCGGCCACGTATTCGTTTCAGGGAAGAAATAGGAGAGGACTCGGAGCTTACCCACTCGCCCCGCGTCCCAGCCTCCCCGCCGGGGCAGAGGGACGCTCGGAGGCCAAGGCACACTCCCTCTCCTCCTCGGGGGTTTCACGACAGACAGACGAGCACTCCGTTTGCCGAAACATTGTCAACAGCATAGGAGTTTGGACTTGTTTTTCTTTCTCATCTTTCTCTTCCCTCTGCAGAGCAAAAATTTTCGCGGCAACGTTAGTTAGTCCTCCCTTCGCTGACGACGAAGACTACAGTGACGAGTGCGGTTTCAGGAGGAAGGCTACGTCCTAAGCTCCCCCCTGCATTTTGCCCTCTCTTCTCTCCCCATCCCGATCAGACGGCCCCGGTGATCCTCCCGAGCGGAAGGAGCATGATCGCTCACCCAAAAGACACCTCACGTCACGACCCGGCGACAGTACAAAATCCCGCCCGAAGTCACAACTGCCCTCCCGGAGCCGTATTGGTGGTGGGGCCAAGGGGAATAGAATGGAGGGTGGGTCAGTGGGGCAACGGCGTGGGGAGGAAGACCCCTTCGCGCGGGACCAGAAACGCGCAAGGACTCTTCCCATCCGCCCCCTGCTTACCCACACCCCGTGCAGGCAGCGTGGATGTGACATTGACAGATAGCCGAAAGACAGGAAAATTCATTTCAAACGACTTAGAAGGGTTACAGCGAGAGAGGGCGAGGAGGTCTCCTGGCTCCTCCTCGGGTAGGAGAAGATTTGTTTATTTTTTCAAAGAGACGGTGGAATAAAATCTCCAAAAAGTAAAATAAAATACATTTGCTGTATTCGTACGGGAAACATTCTGTGTTCCCTAGGCGAAGGAAAGACATTTGAACTAAGGTTTCCTTTCCGCAGATCTCAGCTAAACGCGCGAGGTTCCACGTGGGAGCGGAGCCACCGTCACGCAGGGTGTATGGGCAGGACCGGGGAATACAGGGAGGCAGGCGGTGCCGTCGGCTCCATTGTCTTGGGATAAGAGCTACGGGCGGACACTGTGTTGGGAAGGGAGACAGAACATTAGAGATCTTAAAAAAAATTCCCACCCCTCCGCCAACAATCAAATCCCCCAAACCACAAAAACCCACAACTGAATATGAATTCTTGGGGTCAAAATCTGAAAAATTTCGGACGGATCTTAACGAAACTCCAGCGCTACTTTTTCTTGCAAAGAGCTGGTACAGCCTTGGGCTCACTAAAGATCTGGGGGCTCATTTTTTCAAGGCGTAGAGTGGAAGTCAGCTCTTCTTCTATCTACTCCTAAAAAAGAAATAACAACAACAATAACATTAATAATAATAGCAAGAAAGAGAGAAAAAGGAAGGAAGGAAGGGAGGGAGGGAGGGAGGGAGAGAGAGAAAGAGAGAGAAAGAAAGAAAGAGAGAGAGAGAAAGCAAGCAAACAAGAAAGCGAGAAATAAAGCAAGACAGAAAGCAAGAAAGAAAGGAAGAAAGAAAGAAAGAAAGCGAGGAAGCAAAGAAAGAAAGAGAAAGAGAGAAAGAGGAAGAGAGAAAGAAAGCAAGCAAGCAAGAAAGAAAAATAGAAAAAGATGATGGAGATTTGAGTCAAGACGGGGACATCCCCCGGGAGCCCCGAAACGATAAAGGGGCGGTGACCAGTCGCGGCGGCGGGACTTTGGGGCGCGGGAATGGATCAACGGGACGTGTCCCAGGAGGGAGGTGGCTCTGGGTCGGGAGGTGTCCCGGGAGCCGCGGAGGTCCCGTGACGAACTCCTTCCAGGGACAATACCCAAGGGCGCTGTGCCGGGGCCGGGGGAGCGACGTTCCGTGTCTCCATGGAGCAAGGAAGAGGGGAGGTAGTCTTGTGCGCGGGGTACGGGCCCCGGCTGGGCCGCGCGATGCTCACACAGCACCGGGGCACCCCCAGCACCCACACCTCCTCCCCGCCAGCCAGGAGGAGTGCACCGAGAAATTTAACTTTTTCCTGGTTTTGCCCTCCCTTTCCTCCGGGACCTGCAGGAGGGCGGAGAGTTTCTCCCCGCCAGCCCGGCGACTCCAGGTGTGTCGCTACAGCGAAGTGTCCGAGCAGCGCCGTGCTCTCTCCCTCCATGAGCCCACCCCGAGGGACGCCCCGGCGGATCTCCCTGGCGGAACGGAGAGGTCTAGGCTCTCCTGGAAGATGTTCGTCGGGGCTGGGCAGTACCTGGAGGTGAGAGTTCCCCTGGGAGCAGTCGGGGGCCGCGGGGACTCCACGAGCCTCGTCGCCGGCGCTGTCCGTGGTGCTGGGCCCGTTCCGAGTGCCGCCTGACCCCGCCACCACCCACAGAGCGGGGGAAGGGGACTCCGAGATTCCCTGGGAAGAACGGCGTCTTGCCCGGTGGTCTCCGCCCTGACCGCGCCGCCGCTTGTCGGGAACGGTCCTGGCTTTGATCCGCACCACCGTCTTAGTGTCGTTATGAGCCCATGGGACACGCTGCGAAAGGCAGTGCACACCACCACCCGCAGTCCCCATAGCTCGCAGTTTTGCACCCCTCTTTACCGTCCCCGCGCCCCCCCACCCCCGAGAGAATACACGCTAAATTGGCAGAAAGTGCAAAGGAAACCATTTATAATCCAAATAACCATCACCATAAAAACAACAAGAAACCCCTAAACAAAACCAAACCCTCTCAAAAACAAACAACCCCAAACAAACAAAACCAACCAAACCAACCAAACAAACACACACTCCAATATCTGTAGTGCACATTGAGAGGCAGGTGAGGGTAAGATTGCCCTCAGCCAGTCCCTCACCAGAAAACGAATCAAAGGCTGTATCTCAAGTGAAATAAAGAAGAAAATTGGTGGGAGAAAGGGTGGAAGTTGGGTATGTGGGAAGGGATCAGAGGAGCAAGGAAAGCTGGCCAAGTGATCAGCAAAACTGGAAATGCCTGGCTTGCTGAGAACAGATTAGTATTTGCAAGTTCCATGTGATGTAAGGAACTTTCTCCACAAATTGCAGACAAGCAGCACCAGGCAAAATATTGTGGAAAGTATTATTTTTGTACCTGTATGTTGTGGGGAGACATGGAGGACCCTCCACATCAAGGGCTTTACAATAGAAAACAACATTGTTGGATGAGTTGAGTTTGGAAAGGGAAGGCATAAAGTAATTACGGAGGAGCAGAGATGTGTGTGTGAAGGTTATTTATCTAATTGTGGCAGAGATAGCAGCTTTAAAGAAGGCCGAAGTCTGGACAGAGCCCTTTACCAGGCATTAGGGGATTAGGTTGGTCGTGAGTAAAGAGAAATGGAAGTGACAAAAGAAGATGACCCAGTTCTCTCAATAGAGGGGTCAGCTCTCTCCTTTACTACATTTAGTGGGAAATAACTGATAATATTGTCTCCACTAGGGCAAACTAGCCTGCAGAACAATCCCTTGGGAATATTCATATTTACTTGACCTGATGGAGGGATACAGGCAGTGTGGAGGAGTAGGAGATGCTTGAGACCAGGTTCTCCTCTCTTTCTGGGTCTCCATGGAGGGGGTGACTGGGGTTGGTCGGCCCCTGTCCTTGCATCTCCTGGAACCCTGCACCCCCCCCGGAACCCTGCACCAGCAGTCAGACAAGTGTGGTGAAGAGACTCGTGTCTCCCAGAACTTTTTTTATTTTCCACTCATGTTTCACTTCGCTCCTGCAAGGTGAGGAGGTGGTGCGAGGCTGGCGTCTGCCTGGAGCGGGCATTTGGAAATCACTCAGGAGTCAAAACGTCCCCATGCAACTCCTGCAATCTTCTCAGGTGTCAGTCTGTGCTGGAAACCCATTTCCTCCTGAAAGGTTTCTCCAGTTGATGTCAATGGGGGGGTGGAGGAGGAAGAAAGAAGCCAAGGATAGCAGAAATGCTTCTCCTCTCTAGATTCCTAACCCATGCAGTGCTGTGGGGCTGTGCGCTGCTTCTCAGATGCTGCTCTCCCGCCACGAGGTCAGGAGGTCATCGAGGGCTATGCTACTTGACATAGATTCCTTTTAAAAAGTTTATTCTTCCCAAGAGCTTAGAGGGACCCAACCACAAGGCAGCAAACTGTGGGTACTTCTCCCAGCTAAGTCACGTCTTGGAGAAGACTGGAGAAACTTTTGGAGTTTTTTGTGGGTTTGTTTTTTTTTTTAGTTTGTTTTTTTTCCAGCATAATTAAGCATGTTCCCCAGGATTTTCAGCCCATCTACACCTCTGAGAAGTTCCCCTGTACTCTGTCTAAATTATTTTATTTTATTTTGATTTAAAGCAAGAACTAAAATTTTCCAGCAGTTATGGAGGATGTGGATGGAGGAGGAGGATCTTCACTGTTAGTCAGTTCCTATCCCCAGGTTTCTATCTCCTCATAACAAGGCATTTTGATCGAGAAGGAAACTTGGAGTATATGTGTAATAACTGGAGCGTGTGGTTATTGTGTAACTGATGGACCAGTATAAATTCTGCAGCTCAGGGAAGAGTTTTCTTCATATTATACCCAATATCTATATCTTTATATGGGGTCAGTGCCCAACAGAAAGAATAAAACTGTGCTGAATGAATGAAGTTAAACCCACTGGTAACTGTGGGCTTGGTAAGAGAGGGGGCGATTGTTTGCATTTTTCATATTTGATGAATTATTTCTCATTTTATTTAATTTTTTTGATTGTCACCATTTAAATGACATTACCTAGGATGGCAAAATTTAGAGATGCAGTAAAGCTGCTTGTCTGAATCCACTTTGAAGAATGTTACTGGATCTGAAATCCAGATCTAAGAGCTAATCTCTAGTTTTGCCTTCAAATGGAATTCAGCTACAAAGAGCTTGGAAAGATTTTGCATCTATTCAGGAGACACAACATCTTTAATTTTCTGAGGAGTAAAAACTCCACAAGAAACTTCATATAGCTCCTTAGGTTTTGCTTAGCATATGTGATAAAACATTGATTGTTGCAGTTTGGTGACCCATAAAATTTGGGGGTTAGTTTTCTCTTCAGACTAAAGCATATAATTATGCAAATAAAGAGCTGTCACTGATCTAGTGAAATACTCACAAACACATGCAATCCAAAATGGAACAGAAAAGTGAAATTTGTGGTATTATGATAGTACAATGATAAATGACATCTCCTTCTAAGTTTTTTAAGAAGTACATTTTTCACACTTTGTTGTGTACGTCAACATAACGTGAGTGCGCACACGCACACACACGCACACACACATACACGTCCCTGCAAGATCAAGATATCCACAAATGTGTGCAGAGGTACACACACATGCATCTTTTCACTCAGTAAGATGTAGCTCTACCCGGGTGTACGAAGGAAGTACACGTTCTTGGCAGGTTATTTTTGGCTTGGCTGACTAGAGAATGGTGCAATATGTGGCTCCACGCAGTTTTAGATGTGACACTTTTCATTTGTACTTTTGAATGAAATTTCTAGAGGGGTAAAAAACCCTACAATAAGTGATGTTTCTCAGAAGCAGAGTTAAAATGCACATTTTCATGGAAAGTAGCAGCTTCTTCTGACTGAGTCTGGGAGAATCACACTGCGACAATTGTAACTGTAACCATGTATGCATAATGCAGATAAGGGATTTCTTTGCTTTTTTTTCACCCATTTTAAAATATTTTCTGCATAGCTGTGCTGTGTTTGGGGGTCCACTAGCTGTTTTCCTCAAGGAACATTTTTTTTCTTGTTCTCTGTTCTTGATAAGGAAACTATTCTCATTGGCCCACAGCTTTAACAGCAGCATTTCAACTCACAAAATGGTGTGCAAACTTT